TAAGTTGAAGAGGACGTAGAGAGCAAACTTACAAAGCAAACTTTTACGATAATTAATAAAAGTCATTTGATTCATATTACTTTAATAATTCAATTAATGCCAGAAATGGTCTGAAATATTTCTTCCTCATTTTAAAAATCTTTTGAGTTTAAATATGATAAGAAATGTAGTATACATTATGGTATAGTATTATATATGGTATGGCTATCAAAAACCTATAACAGTAGTATTACTGAACGAATGTGAACGAATACAATAGATACCAAAACCGATAAAAATTGAAGCGTATGTCATTTAAAATTGGAAGTGCATCACGTACTTTAACACGAAATATGGAAATGGAATGGCTAAAATAATGACTGTCAAATGAATGTCAATGTTATAAACAAGTTTGGAAATAAAAGTAACTATTGAGCCGTTTTTGACTAATTAAATTGAATTGAATTAAAATATCATTGTTTAGAAAGTACTAGCTACTTATCTATTATCTATTATTATTGAGTTATTCGATATTCCTTTCAAATGTTACTTTTATAAAAAAAATTATTTTTAAATAAATTATTATAACACATAGAGATTAGTGAAAAAATATATCAAGGACTGAACCCTAAAATTATTCACAAAAGTTGATACGTTGCCCAACCCCGCCATAACAAACTGGATCGATTCGCAATGGAAGATGTCCTGAAGACCAAGAGACATACTGCACGATGGATTTATATTTGAAAACTGTTTCGAATAAATGAGTAAAATGCTTTCAAAGGCACTTTTCTGCGTACATATCTTGAAGACTAATTAGATCCTATGTATTATGTAAAATGCGTAATATGCATTCATAGTGTACTTCCCAATTGTTATATTCCTTCCTACTGCGTATATTTAGTTTGCGTCATCGTCCGGATAGCTTAGGAGACAATGTTAACAGTCAGTCAACAGTCACAGTAATAGCAATTATAGTAATGACAGTCACAGTAATAACGTGACCTAAGGTCTAAATACGTCTTAGTGATGGGGACGCTATCTCTGGATAGTTAAGGAGATAATGTAAAAAGTCAATCAACAGTCACAGTGATGGCAATAATAGTAATTACAGCCACAGTAATAACGTTACCCACGGTCCAAATAGGTCTTAGTGGTAGGAACGCTGTCTTCGGATAGTTTAGGAGACAATGTAAACAGTCACT